ATCCCTCTTTTCCCTCCGCCGCCGCCCCCCCCCTCGCCGTCCGGTCCCTTCTCACCTCTCCGGACCGACGGACAAGGGGTCGCGGTAGTGCCGCCTGGCCAGCGCCGGACGGACGGACGGACGGACGGAGGGAGGCTCGGAGAAGACGGTGCGCCTCGGCTCGGAGCTGGGCAGGGAATGGCCGGGCCACGGGGGGGCGGCGAGAAGGACACCGGCCGGGCGGGCGGCTCAGCAAGCCTTAATTGGTAAAAGCGCAGAGCCGACCGGAGGAATGAGGGAGGGGGGCCGGTGGCAGCAGCAGATAGATGGAGGGGACGAGAGGGCGGGGGGACCCGAGACACCGCCCCCGGGCCGAGCCCAGAGAGGGAGTCCGACCCGGGTTAGAAGACGGTGTCCCTCCTTTCAGGGGACCGCCCCGTAGAGCGGTCCCCTGAAAGGGTAGAGCCACCGGCTGCCGGCCGGTCCGGGGTGATTTCTTCTCCTCTAGGGGGCGCCCAAGCGAAAGCAGGGTTGGACATTTAACTCATAGGGCCACTCTCATCTCTCCACTAGGGGGCATCAGCCACCATCTGGGGTTGGAGGGACTGGGGTGTATGAGATGGTGGGAAGGGAAAGGGAGTGAAGCCAGGTGAGCTCATTTTGAGGATGTAAGGGTGGGGGGGGTGAATTGTCAGAGGGCAAAAGAGAGAGACCCCAACCGATATTGGAAGTAGGGGAGCTCCGACTCATCTCCTCTGTGTTCCAACTAGGCTTGCACAGAACATTGTCCCTCAAGCACTGTGAAACTCTGCTCTTCCAAATGGGTTGGACTACAACTCCCATTATTCTTGTTTGATAATGCTGAGTGGGTGGATGGAAATGTGCAGGTCAAAACGCCTGGCAGGCAAAATGTTCCTGGTTCATCCTGTAGGTTGCATGCCATGGTGATAAAGTGCAAGGCGTGCTACGGTTTGAGTATTCCACCTCGAATGTCAAACCCGCACAGATGCGCTCCGACAATGCTTCGCCCCATGCTTTGGGGCAGCTGCAGGGATGAGGCCGGAAGCAATTCAGTTGCCCCATTTTCTCCACACATGAACCCGGGGAGCTGCCAGCTTAGTCATGAGGCCCCATCACTCTTGGCTAGCTATGAATCATGGGCACAAGAAGACAAAGGGTGGCGGTGGATAGGTTTGGAGAGGGCCAACCCGTGAGGGATGTGGCAGGGGGAGGTAGGGAAGAGAAGCGGGCAGGGTAAGAATGGGCAGGAAATGAGGCATGCCAAGCTTTGAGCGCAGGAGGATGATAAGGGGCTGCTGGGCCTTTGCCACAGCTGGAGCTCCTGAGCAACTGTTGTGGTCGATAATGGCTTGGGAAAGAAATTAATAGACCGGCTGCAAAATGACAACAAGAACAACATGTCCGCCATTCATCATTTCACATTGTGGGGAGCCGTTGATTCTCCAGATGTTTTGGCTTAAGAGTTCCCCTCAACCCAGCCAGCAATAGGAAAAGATCAGGAGAATTGTGGCCCAAAATAACGGGAGGGCCAAAGTCCCCTAAGGGACTGCATGATTTGTAGAGTTGGCCCTGACATTAGGTAGAGTGAGGTAGCTGCCCCAAGGGGAAGTGGGCAGAAAGTGGTAGCCAGAGGCTGGTGGGCAAAGCTGTGCGGTGCCCTGGAGCCTGTCTTCCCGTCAACAGCCTTCAAGGGGCAACGGAAGACCTTGACTGTCTGTCATGGATAAAGTAAGATTCAGCTGGCATTCTTACCAGTTTTTGGACACAGAATGGAGGATGGCATGTCTGTGTACACACACCATCTTTTCTCTCGGTTCAGGTACCAACATGTCCTTGGAAGTCTGTGTTCTTTGTAACAGAAAGGACATAAAGAGCACCATTATTTGCCTGAAAACCATTTACAATCACATTTGAAAGTATGTGAAATTACCTATGTGCTATAGCTCCTCAGCAGCAGGTTCATGTCACAGAACAGCCATATTGGAATTTGTTTCAATGGGGTAATGTGTGTTTGCCTGCTAGTTGGTGGGTCTGAGTGGGTGTTTGTATATAATAGCCTGTGCACACAATATGTACTGCTTTTTAAAGTTGTGTTCTGGCTCCCTACCAACAGTTACTTAAGCCACCTAACCACAGTATTGCAGATACAAGACATTAAAATTAACAACAATCACATATAAAGCAATTTTTGACTGGGGGTGGGGACAGAAAGCATGGCAGGGGGGAAAAAAACCAAACGAAGAAGCCACAGGTTTGAATGCTGAGCCGGACAACTGAGGAGATTTTGGAGATCGCTCATTCATGAATCGGAGGCAACTTGATGGTACATCACAGTAACAACTTGTAATGTTATTACTGTTTTGGCATAACAACTAACATTTACTCATTGCTCCTAAAACGTTGCTTGGAGAGCATTGCTCTGGGAAATTTTGGGCATTGTTTTGTTTTATAATTTTTTTTAAAAAATGAATTAAATGGCAATGCACACACCCCCTTGACAGCATATTAAAAAAATAACGAAGAGGCTTGGAACCACTTGATCTCAGGCAAGACCCATGAATGATTACAGAAGAAATCACAGATACTTTAATGGTCAAACTGCAAAATCCTATTGGTTCTTCCTCTTGCCCCCCTCCAATAGTTAATACAGCAATGTTCTCAGAGACCGTCCCATCATTTAACAAGGAAAAGGAAGATTATAGGTAATATGATTATAGTATGGGATACCCAGTGTAGTGTAGTGGATAAAAAGACAGAGTAGCACTCCGGAAACCTGAGTTCAAATCCTCACTCAGCCATAGAAACTCACCAAGCATGCTGAACTGGTAAAAAAAAACACTCCTTAAATATCTTGCTTACCTTAAAAGCTCTCTTATGGCCACTGTAAGTCATTTCTGACTTGACGGCACATAACAAAAGAAATCATAGTATAGCTCAATGGTAGAGTATGTGCATTTCCTGCAGAAGGGCCAGGAAGGTTGGGGAAGTGCTTTATTTGAAAGGTAGCGCACTCTGCCTGACCTGCTCAGGAGCCCAGCCTATATACCACTGGCGCTCACAGTGCAAATAATAATGAGCTGGATGGACCAGCGCTCACTGTGCAAATAATAATGAGCTGGATGGACCAGGGATCTTACTTGAAACGAGACAGCTACGCATAGGCTCACTAGGTGTCTCAATCTATTGGGGAGGTCTCATGCAAAGCAAAACCTCATGTGGCATGTACTCATCTGCGCAGAACGGACAGAGAAGAGGTTCCATCTTGATTATGCCCGTGTGTGTGTGTGTGTGTGTGTGTGTGTGTGTGTGTGTGTGTGTGTGTGTGTGTGTGTGAGATCTATCTGTCTCTCGTCTTGTGTGTGTGACGTGCCATCAAGCTGGAGCTGACTTGTAGCGACCCTAAGAGGACTTTCAAGGTAACAGAGACATTTGAGGAGTGTTTTTTTATCAATTCTGCTCCCCCAGTGAGTTCCCCTGGCAATGGCTTCAAACCCAGGTCTTCTGAGTCCCCGTCTGTCCTCTCATCCACCCTGGTTACCAGTCTTTCACTTTTAGCAGTGCCCAAAACAGGCTGCCTTGGAGGGATGATTTCCCTGTGCTTCACGGCAGGAGCTCTTCTGGAGCTGGATGAAGAGGACAAGAAGCAACATGTAAAGCGTTAACTGGTCTGTTGTAGCTTACCATTGTCTGCTCCAGGAGTGCATACACAGATTGGGATCAAATGGCAGGAGCTCTGGGTGATTGACATCAGGTTAACAAAGGTTTCTGTCTCTCAATTGTCTAGCAATGACACCAGTGAAAATATTCCTTCCCTGCTTTGTGTGAATACTGGAGAAGAAAAGGTGAATCTTTGTGAGAAAGAGTTTGGATCCTGGCCAGAGGCACCTACCCAGAGGCACCTTTCCTTCCACATCCATTCCTGCCACATACGGTACTTGCCCACTCACCTCAGCCTCTGTTTCTCACCTGTCTCTGGTTGATGCCCTTCAGGGGTTCTAGCCAAACCCAAAATAACACCCTGTTCAAGCTAAGGTCCACTTCAAAGGGCATCTACCAGCAGCTCACCAAGGAAGGTCTTGGGCAGAGGTCCTTTTCCCAGCATCGCTACTCAAGATCTTTTCATGATGTATATGGTGAACCTTTGGAAGAAAAGTGGTTGTGGGTTGAGGAGGAAGAAACACACTTCAGTGGTCCCCGTAGTCGTCGGGGCTTTGGAAACAATATCAAAAAATTTCATGCAGTTGCAGACCTCATAAATAACACCACCAGAGCTACAAAAACGGCAATATCAGGAACAGCATACATACTGCACCGATATTTAACAGGTACTTAGTTTTTTTTGTTAAAACTTGTATCTATAATATAATACCAGTCAATGTTTTTATAATTTTGATTGACTGTGTCTGATATTTTTGAATAATAATTATAGAACTGCCAAGCTGGAAGGGACTCTATGGACCTTTGAGTCCAGACCCCATCAAAGAGGCCCAAGAGGGAAGTGAAATCCCAACCTCTGGCTGCACAGCTGGATACCTTTATCAAAGAGGCCCAGGAGGGAAGTGAAATCCCAGCCTCTGGCTGCACAGCCGGATACCTAGACCACGGAGCTCTCCAAATGAAACAAATGAATCAGGGGAACCTCCCCAAAGACGGCTAGCAAATATATGGCCAAGCCAGGATTTGAATCCAGGACTACCAGCTGCATGTCGAGTGCTGATATTCAGTAGCTTGTTCAGCAGTCAGCGTAATGGAATGCTTCTCTGCAAGAATGTACTGTAAATGACAGGAACTGTGATTAGGTCAATTCCTGCCCCTCTCCTCATGACCATATTTGCATACCTGGAACCATTCTGCATGACATAGAGAATATTTTGGGCTCACTCCGGCAGGCTTTACTGCTGGACAGGTTTCAAAGAAATAACAGTAAAATAATTCCACATCAATGGGAAGTTTCTCATAGTTCATAATACTGGAACTGGAGCAGGGGTTGTCATCCCGTGAAGCTGATTAGTTGGGAGATTTGGGAAAATTAAGAAGCTCTTCTTCGCAAAGTGAGATAGAGGATGGGATTTGAATTACGCAATTTGTTCCCACAAGCTGTAGCAATGGCCACCAACTTGAGCAACTTTAAAAGGGAATTACACATAAATTCCCTAGGGATAGTTATAACTAGCTACTAGTTAGGATAGCTATTAACTACCTTCAGCATAGACATTTGGTTGGTTGGTTGGCCAACATGGAAACA